GGTTTTTCCCGGCGGAAAGCAAGGAGCATCCAGTGGGCGCACCTTGGCTGTATGTGGTTGGTGAGCTGGCAAAGCCCAGCTCCTTTGCTTTATGAAGGGGGCAGTGGGGCTGGGAGTGGAGGTGCTGAGTGGTTTCCTCTGGAAGGGAGCAAGGTAACAGAAGCAGCTGAAGAACAAATGGGTTCCTTGGACAGCATTTCTACTGTTTCCTTGTCAGCTGCTTCTGAGGGTCCTCTCTCCTGTTGCTTTCATGTATTTATCCATAGGTACATCCTAATATGAGTCCATAAAGCTGATTATCCCTTAAAGTCTAGCCCATCTCCACTCTTGCTTTTCCTAGAAGATTTCTTTAAGGAGAAAACATGTTTTAATTGTACAATAGAAAAGAGGGCCTTGCTTCAGGAGTGAAAGAAGTGTCCAGGACCACAATGCTAAGGGAATGATTTACCAGGAAGAAAGCTTGGGCATAAAATATCATGGGCATGGCAGCTATTTCAGTATCTGCTAACGTGCACGCTTGCTCTGTGGCAAATACAGCACAGTGAATGCAATTCTGGGATTGCTGCCGAGTAGGCTTTTAGCCCTTCACATTTCTTCCTGGAGGAGAAAAGCTTGATTTTTAGGGTGACTGTCAATATTCACTTAGGGGGTTTTATGTATCTATTCAGAGGCTGTTATCCAAAGAACTTGAGTTTAGTGTAGTGTCTGGGTATGCCTAAGGCTTTGTCTCTGTGCTGGTAACTAAGGCAGCTGTAAAACTGGAGAGGTGTGTTCGTTCCTGTGAGCTATTCAGCTGAGCCACCATGAGTTTTCTTGTATTTTTGCCCATTCCTCTGTGCTGTCTGTCTCAACCTCTCTTCAGGAGTGTAATGCTTCTCATTGCAGTGTTGGCTGACATGGACTTCCCTTGATCTGATCAGACTTACCTTCTCTACTCCCTGCTTCAGCAGGGCTTCTGTCTCTGAGTAGATTTCAAGGTGTGTTTCTTATCATTGGAGGTCATCATTTTTGATGGCACAGTTACCTAGATCTTTTTAGGTACTCAACTTAGTTTTAGCATCTGAACATCATGTTTGGTTTGGCTTTTGTCCCTCAGGAGTGTAATGGATTTATTTGTCCATCAGGAGCATCCATTAATATGAGGAAGGAGTCTGCCAGGAGCAACTTAGTTGACCAAGAGATCAAAAGAAGATTTTTAGCCAGGGCAGAGAGATGCCTCAGTGACTTATCTTAGCTTTACTGTCTATAACTTTAGATTCTCCAGAAAATAGCAAAGATGTCACTTCTTCCTATTCAATTCATGATTCATTTGGTGAAGATACTGACATTCCACTCCCAAGCTGAGGATTTTCCTGTTGTGGTAGAATTTTTTTCTCATTCAGCTATAATTAGATCTTTAAAAATGTACTAGGCTTCTACCCTCCCCCCCAGCTCTCCACCAGTAATGATCTGTTTCTATAGTGAGTTTGAATCTGCCCTTAATGGAAGACTCTTAAAATATTTAGTAATGTGTTCCCTCTGTTGTCTGTTCCCCAAATAGCCTTTTTGTGGTGGTTTTTCTCCTAGAACAGTAGGAGCAAGCAAGTCCATAATAGTCTACAAAAGGGAAAAACAGCTGCCTTTAAGGAGTTTATTCTTGAATTTAATCTCAGCGTACTTGTTTGATGTTACCTTGAGGAGCAAAGAGATGTGATGCTTCATTTGAAGGTTGATTAGTTTCTTAATTATGCATGGTGTGGTATTTCGTTCTATGCATTTGCATTTGAGATTGCTTGCATACTTGGATGTTAGGTGTGCTGTATCAAGTTGTATCGACTAAATAACAGCTTCTTGCAAGGACTCTTCATCTTTGTTGTACTGACTAAAGAGAGATCAGATGATTATCAGTTTCAATTATGGAACACTAACAGTATGGAACATGCAATTTTATCACTTACAAAATACTTGCTGGCTTAATTAGGGTTTATTCAACCAGAGCTAAGCCACACAAATGGCTTCTCAAATGGAATTTGTCAGCTGCTGAGATCCACAAAACTGCTGACTGGAGCTGAGACTACCCTTTTAATAAGTGCTGTGTCTTTACTTGGTCCTCCACGGTGCTATGGGACCTTGAGGATGACAGGCCTGAGTCCTCCACATTTACTGATTTTTGGCTGTTAGTTAGAAGTGCCCACAGTGTTTGTGTTAAGTAGGCAAATGTTTGACGGAAGATGAAAGGAGACCTGTAAATGCTCTTTGAGATGTGTTGTCTATACATGCATTCCTAATTGATCTCTTAACTCCTTCCCAGCGTCTCAGAAAGTGGACGCTTTGGCTCAAAGAAGCTGAGTGGGTATAGCATATCCTACCCCTTTTATGGCCTGTGGGCAATACACCTAGGGGCAAGAGTTTACCCCAGAGCTTTCTTGGACACTTCAGAAGTAAAATTTTCTGATTTGAATAGTGCTTCCGTATAGGTACATAGAGATAAAATATCTGAGATGGCAGTTTAAGTAATCCATTTCCCCTTGCTGTACAGCATTTAGTGTATATCGGCAACTGTCTGCAAGTTTGGTGATGATCGCTCTTGACAATCCATTCTTGAGTAGTGTACCCAGTGTTAATATTACTGCCTCCTGCTTGTTTTGCAGCAGACTTCAAGGTTTCTTTACCACCCACTCATATACCAGATTTCACATGAACTACAGAGAAGAGGAAAACTTTACTCAGCTTTCTGGCAATCATCCCACTTCAGGGCTTTCATTTGCCAGTGATCAGCACAACATATATTGCAGAAGTATATGCAAATGAATATTATGCAAACTATTCTTTTCTAGGTGGTCTGAGTTATGTTAGGAGCAGGCATGCTTTCCCATGTGGTTGGGCCCCAGCATCTGTTTTCCTTTAGCAAATATGATAAGCTCTGACTGATGGCATGTATGTTTTCTTCTCTTTACATAAACTCGTATCAGGTGAACATCATAGAAAGAACAGGCTGCTACCTCGTAAGCTACCAGCAACTTCTTTGTAATTGCTGAGAGTAGCACTGTGTATCAGCTACCCAAGAATTAGGTAGACCTCAATGATATCGCTCCCTTAGGGAGTCCTGTTCTTGGATCAGTTTCTTCCTCAAAATAAATCCCCCAAACTATCAATATAGAAGCTGTCCACATAATCTCTCTGTGCCATCAGTCCCTAGAGACTCACTGACTCTTCTGAATGATGACTTCCCCCTAGCTTGGGGACTTGGCCTTAATTTCCAGATCCTGGAGATTCTGTACCTAAGGAGCAGATGTTATGATATCAATAGTATAGGTCCAAAGCATTTTAAAGTCTTAAAGGTTTTATAGGGTCTGTTAAATCTCAGATGACTTTCTTTTAGGAAAAACTAAAGTGAGAGCGCTCATTCCTAGGTATGGAATGCAACATTTTTACAGAGAATAATTTGGCTTTTAGTGAAAGCTTTATTAAATTTTCTGTACTGGCAAATGTTCTAAGATTCATGTAAATGTTATAGTCTAATAGCAATTAATTTCTATTAGGCATACCTTCTTTGATATGCTGCTTCATGATAAAAATAATACGCTGGCTTCCGTAGGTTTTGAGACTTCCTTTTACAAAATTCTGTTTCTCCCTCTGCTGAACAAGACAAGCTTTGTAGGTTTTGTTTGCTTTACTTCCCCTTTTCCTCCTTCCTCCTCCTATACTTCATGTGTGTGAGTTTTGATTTTTGGGTTTGTTTTTTTTTCTTTCTGCCAGCTAGTCTCTGCACTAAGTGTCTGGAGTAGACCGAACTTAAGTAGTCAATGCTTTTTCAAAGTGTAGTGTTAAATCAAGGAGCTGAGCAGCATGCTAAGCTATTAATCCAACTTACTGACAGGTGAACTTGACAAATTGCTGCAGTAGTTAGACATGTCTGCTCTGCACTCTCACTGAGGTTTCCACCTCCACCACAGCACCAGCAGAAGGGTACATGTGATTACCTTTGCCAGAAGCTTATGCTGAGAGAGTAGGTCTACAGGGAAATGTCAGACTGTTCCCTATCAGATGTCTATTTCCTTCCCTCATCTTCAGTGTGAATGAATTAAGATCTGAAAAGGAAGCTGAGCAGGTTGCTGGCCAAACTCTGTCACACCAATAGTGGTGGTGAGCAATTTATGATTTGCTTTTAGTAAGATCATTAATTTGATTTTGATAAAAATAAACATTTGGAAAAACCTAATCCTTGACTTTTGAGTTGCTGTTTTAAATGCGCTAATTAGTCCGTGGCTTTATGTAATTAATAGTTCATATGCACCATACTTACAGTGGTGGTGTAAAATAATTACCATGGGTAAGAGTGCTTCTTAACCCTGTTGGAACAAATAGTTTAATTTCCCTGAGGAGATGTATCATTCTGATTAGTATGCATTGGTGTCACATTGCTGCAAAGCTGATCAGTTCTTCCAGGTGCTTACTGCATTTGAGCTGCGTAGCTGGGAAGGAAAGATTTGGCAGCTGCTCCTAAATCAAACAAGTGCAGTGCTGAATGCAAACTTATAGCTTATCAGGAAGAGATCAAAGACTTCAAGAAGAAAGTACGTGGTCATTGCTTATTTCTTAAGCAATTTTTTCTTTCCTTTTTTCTTTATATGATGTAGGCAAACAATGCCAGTGATCCTTGGTCCAGTTGGAACGTTGGGAAGTCTGGGAACTGGGATAATGGAAATGCTGTCGACAGCTGGGCGACGAAACCTGAAAGTGCAGCTGGCCAGAGAAACAGTGCTTCAAATAATTGGGAGACAGCAGCTGCATTTGGTCATCCACAGGCATATCAAGGACCAGGTGTGCTAATAATGCTCTTATTTTTTAATACGTTAGAGTAGGTGGACTGTAGAGGTAAGAATTGCTTAATCTTTCATAACTATAGAACATGGCTTATTTAAAAAACAAAACCAGCTTCCTGATAGCACATTGCCATGTGAGTAGACTGGACACTTAAGTAACAGGATGTTTTAAATAATTTTTTAAAAAAATCAGATCCACTATAACAGACACTTCAAACTTGTATGGAAATCTGGCAAGCCAAAGTCTTATGCATAACGTGATCTATTGTTAGGCATGTCGTGCAGATTGCATAACTTGGAACTGAAACACCCTTGAACTTGTGCCCTCAGGCCTGTGAAGAAGTAGTCTCTTAAATTCTTAATTTTAAGAAGTGGCTAGTCTTTCAGAAGGCTTCTCTACCTGTTTGTTGCAAAGACCTAAATTAAGAGAACTCGTAACTGGGGAATGCTAACATGGAGTCTGTGAATATGGAGCACTATTGAATTCATCTTAACACACCACAATATCTTCTTTTTTTCTATTCTTTTCCCTCTCCCTCAGTGGATTTCTAGTGTAGTGTTTTGCAGGTTGTATTTCGTGGGGATGGTGGTAATTGAGGAGGAATCATAAAATGGAAGGCTGAACCAGAGAAGAACTAGCTCTTAAATATATTTACCTTGTTGATTACTTGTGTATGAGTGCTGAGGTAGCTGCTTCTGCTTTTAAAGGAAAATATTTAACTTCTCTTTTCCCTCCCTCCCTGCCCCCTTCTGTACTTCAGCAGCTGCTGATGATGATGATTGGGATGATGACTGGGATGACCCAAAATCAACCTCACCATCTTACCTTGGTTACAAGGAGACTGAGGCATCAGAGGCTGGGGGGGTCCAGCGTGGAAATTCTCGTGCAGCTGCTATGAAGTTACCACTTAACAAGTAATGGAAAATGCAGGGCAAATGTGTATATATTGAAGACAATTGGAATTTGTCAAGATGTGTAAATGTGTGACCATTCAACCTGCTTGAAATATGCAATGTAAATTTTATAGTTTGGGGATAAAAGTGGAGATGGATTTGTAGCTCAGTGTTCTCCCTGTGTGATCAGAGAACACAGATCCACAAAAGCTTGAAAGTACATGACAAAGCTGTCTAATTTTTGGAGGTGTTATACAGGCAAATGACACTTTTTTGCAAGGCCTGAACTTCTGGATCTACTGGTCTTTAAAATTTAACTGTCTTTAACACTATGTGTGCTTAGTGAAAATGATAGGTACTGGATGGCTTGTCCATACAGCAGCACTGATCAGACATGCTGCCTCAGAGTTCATGAGTAATTTTGAGTTGCTAGGAGTGGAGAAAAGTTCTGCTCTTCTCTGTCTGCATCATCCAGGTTGATTCTTGAGCCACAGAAAGCTTGATTGTTTTTTTGGGGGGAAGGGATTTAGATAAAAATCTTGTAATAGCATGAAGCTTTGCCAGGGTTATACTGGCATTATTTTATGTTACAACTTAATGTTTGCTTATTCTAAAACTACTGTTACTCTGAGAAGCTACTGTGTGGTAATCTTTAAGTGGATGAAAGCACAGTGGAAAAGGATTGTAGAATAATTGTCTCCTTGGGTAGGTAACAAAAACTAACAACTGGTCATGTAGAGGCAGTTGATTTTGTTCATCAGTGGAGGCTTTGTCCAGTTTTGCAATCATATTTTTGCATCATTGTGGCATCTACTTGTTGCACGCCTATTTAGTGTAACCAGCTTATGTAAACATATCTTAAATAAGAGCGTTATTTGTCTGAAGTAAATCCCACTTTACTCCTCACGTTTCTGCAAGCAGACAGTAGGTTGGCGATCCTTGAAGGGCTAAGTATCTTCCTAATTAGAAAGAGAACCAGATTCTTTTTGCACAGACTTTAAGGACATTACAGTGATTTTTGTGTGGTTTTTTTCGTATTGGTAGATAAATCATGTGACTCATGTTTTAGAAGAACTTGATAAATCCGCAGTTTGGTATTCTTTCAGATGATTGAATTCTCATCATCTGAAACAGCAGAACAGTGTGCATGGGCGTATGTGTGTGCATTTCCAGAGGGGGTGGGCTGCAGTCGAGTGGCAGATGTTACTTGTGTCCTCCTGTTATGTTTGCTCTGATGGGCTGCAGAGCACAAATAGCTATTTTACCTTGGAAGAAGGGGCCTTTATTACAGAAGTAAAAGCTGGAGGTGAATAGCTAAAACTTCTCTGCTTTTCCAGGACAAATTGTTGGTTGCTTAAGTAATCTACATCAATTCTTTTCTATACTTGAGAAATACTAAGGGTTTTTTCCTGTAGCGGCATATGCAGAATTACCTGCCAAAGGAAGGAAAATATGGAATAAACTTGTTTTGGTTTTTTGTTAGATTTCCTGGATTTGCAAAACCTGGGATGGAACAGTATCTGTTGGCAAAGCAGCTAGCAAAACCCAAAGAGAAAATTCCCATAATTGTAAGTTGGGGACATGTGTGTAGTTTTTGTGTGTGTTGGTGGTGTGGTTTGTTTTGGGGTTGGGGTTTTTTGTTTTGGTTTTTTTGTGGGGTTTTTTTAATCTTCCCCACCCTTCCCTTTTTTCCAACTTAACTTTTAGCCTCAAGGTTGCTGTATGTATTTGGGTCAGAAGAACATATAATTAGAAATAGAACTGTCATACTAAAATGGTGTACCACTTAAGTATTTCAAAATTGTGGTACACTACATTTTGGAGTCATGTAGAGTCATAGAATGGTTTGGGTTGGAAGGGACCTTAAAGACCATCTAGTTCTAACCCTCCACTAGACCAGGTTGCCCAAAGCCCCATCCGACCTGGCCTTGAACACTGCCAGGGAGGGGGCATCCACTACCTCTCTGGGCAACCTGTTCCAGTGCCTCACCACCCTCACAGTAAAGAATTTTTTCCTAATATCTAATCTAAATCTACCCTCCTTCAGCTTAAAGCCATTACCCCTTGTCCTGTCACTACGTGCCAGTGTAAAAAGTCCCTCTCCAGAATTTTTGTAGGCCGCCTTCAGGTACTGGAAGGCTGCTATAAGGTGTCCCCAGGGCCTTCTCTTCTCCAGTCGGAACAAGCCCAGCTCTCTCAGCCTGTCCTCATAGGAGAGGTGTTCTAGCCCTCTGATCATCTTCACGGTCCTCCTCTGGACTTGCTCCAACAGGTCCGTGTCCTCTTTATGTTGGAGGCCCCAGGGCTGGGTGCAGTACTGCAGGTGGGGTCTCACGAGAGCGGAGTAGAGGGGCAGAATCACCTCCCTCACCCTGCTGGTCATGCTTCTTTGATGTAGCCCAGGATACGGTTGGCTTTCTGGACTGAAGTGCATGTTGCTGGGTCATGTTGAGCTTATCATTAACCCCCCAAGTCCTTCTCCTCAGGGCTGCTCTCAATCCATTCTGCGCCCAGCCTGTAGTTGTGCTTGGGATTGCCTTGACCCACGTGCAGGACCTTGCATTTGGCCTTGTTGAACTTCATGCGGTTTGCACAGGTCCACCTCTGAAGCCTGTCAGGGTCCCTCTGGATGGCATCCCTTCCCTCCAGCGTGTCGATCACACCACACAGCTTGGTGTTGTCAGCAAACTTGTTGAGGGTGCACTCGATCCCACTGTTTGTGTCACTGACAAAGATGTTAAACAGTGCCAGTCCTAATACTGACCCCTGAGGGGTGCCACTTGTCACTGATCTCCACTTGGACATCGAGCCATTGACCACAAGTCCTGATATCATTATATTATATTATATTATTGAGGTGTTTTTCAGGGTCAAGTCTTAAGTCTTCCTTTCTTCTAAGTGTGCTGGTTTGGGTGTGTTTTTTCTTTTCAGTACTTGTGGGGTTTTTTTCCCTCATACTGGACCTGCACTGCCTGTGACCATGAAAACAAGCCTTTTTGGGACTGGGAGGCAAAGCAAATGCATTACACTATTAGTTCTCTAGAGAGTTATCTAATGCATAGGAGCTATACTCCTAAAGGTTTGCAATATTCAGTCATGATAGTCAGGTCATCTTCTGACCTAAAAAATAAACTCTTCTAGATATATGCTGTTCTAGTGAAATGTGGTTGAAATAGCAATCCCTAGAATTCACCACTCCTTTACTATTTGTGAAAAAATTGTAAAATACAGAATAAGATAAACACAACAGTGGCCAGTCATCTGTGGTTGGGAGAAATCCCTCCGTTTCCTGACTTCTAAGCTTTCGCTGAAATCAATAGAATCTTTCAAGTGGAGAGAGAAAGTATTTCTCCTTTGTAGCTGGTACAACGTGATGTATTTAAGTACAGATAATAAATATATTAC